TCTCTAAAAAGTCAGTCAGACTAAGTCCGGTAGATAATAAACTTGAAACGCAATGACAAGTTTTCACTTGAAGGCATGCCAAAGAATATTATCAAAGTAAAGGTATTCCAAGAAAGATAAATGTAAATCAAAAGACCCTTTCAACTAATGTTGAAGATATCCATCTTCACCAACTCTTTCCACATATATTTATTAATGATATGGATATGTATGCCGGAAATGATAATAATGTCTCATTAGCTGATCAATCTTTATCTACAAATCATCCTAATACATGTGCACAATGTTCAAACCCAGTATTTGGATTTGGTCTACGTTGTTGGGGTTGTAAGTTGAGTCTTCATTTTAGATGTTATAATTCTCCCCATGGCGGATTTCAGGCAGAATATCCTTTGAACTCTGGTGTTCATAAATTAGCCACCCCAAGATATTGTGATATCATTCATAGTAAAAGAGAATGCATCTTTAAAGGATGCTTTCAAGGCGATAATTCTGATTCGTCAACTATTTCAGAAAATATTGCTGGCCATAAATTCCATCTTGTCAACCTTTTTACTTTAACATTGTGTATAGCTTGTCATTTACCTTTATGGGGTATGATGTGTCAAGGATATAGGTGTGAATTATGTAATCGGTTTATTCATTCAAGTTGCTTGAACTCTAAACATCTAGAAACAAAAGCTCGTTGTCAAACGTCTTCTATGAATGAAAGCGATGTGCTTATCGAGTACGAAGACCTATGTCAAGATTTTCGCAAATATTTTGACCATATATTAATTCTAGAAAATGCTATATCATTACATACTTACGAAGAGTTGTCTATGATGTACACAATTCTGCAAATACAAGATAATATTCTGCAAAATGGTATATTGGCTGGTTGCCTTATTATAAAACAACATAACTATAATCCTCTAACTTCAACATCAGAAAATTTTGAAAAGTTTGAACTTCAAGAATCCATTGATCTATACAAATCATATCTAGATGATGGAAAATTGTCTTTGTGTTCATTGTCGGTTGAATATTGGGATGCTATCAAAAAGAAATATCATCCATGTATGATGTCATGTGAAAATTACCTTGCTCATATAGCTTCAGCAATTAAGTCATCAAATTATTTTGAACCTTCAGAACAAGATTATATTGATCAACATCTAAGTGTATACGGCACAGAAGCGAATATCTCATCATCGAAAGGTGCTTCAGATAATCCAGACAGAACTTTAGCTACACATGAGTTAATCAAATGGATTCAAGAAAATATTGGATTCCGTAATAGCTTTTCAACAAAAGTAATTTTACAACAACTAGTTAATATTGGATTTCTTGAGAGGATTGACGGACATCCAATATTATTTGGCGATGATGATCCTGAAAAGAATATAGTTGAATGTTCGCTTCCTCTGCCATTTGCGACAGAATGCTCTTCAGCGGTCGAGACTCTTTTAACGGCAATTTCTTCATGCTTATCAGATGTCAATATATCGATTAATGAGTGTGGATTTCTTCTCATGATGCGACGCTGTTGGCCTGGTCCTTTCATGTCCAAATATGTTTTAGAACGACTGGTTTATTCAATTATTGAATGGATGAATGATGAAGATGAGAGGTTATTGATAATTGGAAAAGAATACACTGCTGCACGAAGGTTACCTGGAATTCGTGATGAAATAGAAGATAATCAACAGCAGAAAGGATATTTGCAAAATTCTGTTGGTGGGGGTGCTTATGTGATAAGTCGTAGAATGTTGAAAGAGAAATACATTTTGCAATGGTTATTTGCAGTTCATGAATTGAATGAGGAACTATTTTGTGATATTGTTTACAGCCAGATAAAAATGTTTTATGAAAATCAAAATCAACAAGAAGATATTGATTCAAATGTAAGTCCATATTTAATAATGAATAATGTTAAAACAGACTAATTAATAAATTATATTATACATTATATTTAGAATGATTTTCAATTTCATGACCGTATGCTCAAATGTATAATTAGACTCTGGAACGAAAACCTGCTTTTTACTTCATTTAATGAAATAGTTTCCAGATGGTTAGACGAAGTTTACCAGATAATGAAAAATCAACCCCAAGTAATTTTTTTTATTGAGATGATCATATTTTTATGAAATTTGGATGGAAGGTATTCTAACATAATTTAAAAAAAAAAATAATTAATTTTTTTATTTGAATTTAAGAAATTTGTAGAAATACGGACATTGAGTAAAGTTTTCGGCCCGGTAAAAAACACTTCTCAACGAAAAAATAATGTGGATCAAATAACTGTGGCCACAGAGAATTTCAACGTTAATACTAATATTAGCCCTATAGACACAATTACCCAATTATTTAAAAACAATAATGTTCAATTATCGCGAGCCTTGCAATGGATAGAATTGATGGTGCGTGCTGGGTAAGAATAAATTCACTTAATATTTGCTATGACCTTACAAAGCTTATTAATTTTACTGGAATTTTTAGAGTTGGTCTTCCTGGCACAATATTTTCAGATTATATCTCATTATTAGTAAATGCTTCGCCAACACTTGATCAGTACACAACCTTCTTGCAAATTATTTGGCACCAGGTTATGATTGGTCTAGGAAATATTATTCAGCGTGGTACTATTCTCAAGATTATTTCAGATGCCAATGAAGCAGCTTTCAACATAATAAACAAAATAAGCAAAAAAGGCAAAGGCACAGAATTTGCAAGGTTAAAATTAGTTCTTATTGTTATTTAAAACGTTTTTTTTTTTTTTAATGGAAATATAATTAATCAATTAACTAACACTATTATCAATACAGCGCTAAATTTTTTATCAAAACTACGCTTGTTTTGGCTTTATATTCTTACAATTGTCCGTTTGAAAGCATTTACAATCTGAATATTGTCGATCAGTTAACTCATAAGCATCCTTCTACAGGGCAAGTCAATTTATCATAAATATTGTGCTTTGTAACTTTGTCATTTATATAATCCTTATACTCTGTTATATGTATTTAGTACTTTTAAAAGAAAATCAAATATTATGGATCCAACACCAGGCGCCAATGTTACAGCAGACACTCCTTTAATACAAATGTTTTTAAATTATGCAAGAATGGAAAAATTAGAAGTTCGTAGTGATGTCGTAAAGACGTTTTGGAGGCTTTTTGCATCTGCTAGTCTTATTTTCAATAAGGATGAATTTATTATTAGTTGCATACCAAAGTTGTTACCAAGGTAGTTAAACTATAAATACTAATACATATATCATTATTTAATATCTCATATTATATACTTACTTGCATTTGTTTGTTTTTCAGTGTTTGGGAAGCATTGGCCCCTATATATGATGGATCATCTGATCTAACATTACAATTATTGATAAGAATTGTTTGGACGGACCCTCGTTTCTTTCTTACTTCGGTTAGTAAAGTGTTTGAGCATCCAAACTGGGAAATTAGGTAAATTACTTTGATGATTGATATTATTTACTATGTGTATACTATTGTATATACACAGGCATTATTATATTATTATTATATTTAAATTTTTAATTCTAAGACCACTTTTGGGATTTAAAAAAATTTCCCGCAAAACTTAGAATAAACTATACCTTTCTCTAGGCTTTAAAAATTATTCTTACTCTAATATAAACAGAATTAATTTTTGTTTATGCAAATCAATTAATACACCTGTGTTTATATACTATGTGTAAACTAGAAATTGTTTACTTTACTTATATACTAGATTTGCTAAATTTAATAATTATTATTAATTAGGTTTGATGGCCTTGACAATTTATTTGGACTATTTTCAAAACTTGATGAAAAATTTGAGGTTGCCAGGGCTGGTGTATTTGCTTATTTAGGCCCTATTTTTAGTTACTTCGTTGGTTGTATTTGGGATCAAGAGGTTTGTGTTTGGCTATTTTTATAAAATAATAATCTTCAAATGAATTTTTATTTACAAAATATGAATGTTATTTCAGGAATATGTTAGAACAAAGGCTATAACTTATATTAGAGCTATGCAACCACAACATGTTTATTTAGCTATTAAATG